GTCCGTATACGTCGCCCCCCCGCCCATCTTTCCGATTATTATTGTCATACCGCCCAGACATTGGCTCATGTTGCTCCTTCTCTTGTCGCTTCCCGTTCTTCAGGTACTCGGTATCCTATCCATAATTTTGTTCATTATGAGAAATTGCATGACAGGTACCGTGGATTTCTAGCTGCCGTTTCCTCCCACAAAGTTCCCAAGACTTTTAAGCAAGCCATGCAGCATGCAAACTGGCGGCTAGCTATGCAACAGGAGATCGATGCTTTGGAGAATAATCATATTTGGGACATCACAGATCTCCCTCCTGACTGGACTGCGTTGGGTTTTCAATGGGTATTTCGCACCAAGTTCCGATCTGATGGTACCAAGGAGCGGGATAAGGCACGCCTGGTGGTCTTGGGGAATCACCAAGAATTTGGTACGGACTATACTGATACCTTTGCTCCTGTTGCTAAAATGGGTACGGTATGTATTTTATTATCTGTTGCTGTGGCTAAACAATGGGAGGTCCATCAGCTTGATGTTAATAATGCATTTTTGCATGGGGATTTAATTGAGGAAGTTTATATGCGGTTGCCACCTGGGTATTCTATTCCTGGGAAAGTGTGTCGTCTCCGCAAATCCTTGTATGGCTTGCGACAATCTTCGCGAAACTGGTTTCACAAGCTTAGCTCTGCTCTTCGTCATTGGGGCTTTAAACAAGCTCATAAAGACCATACTTTATTCATTTTACGACGGGGTTCTGATATTCTCACAGTTTTGGTATATGTTGATGATATCTTGGTTGCAGGCAATAATCCGTCTCTGTGTGCCTCCTTTAAACGGTATCTAGACCGCTGTTTTAAACTCAAAGATTTGGGCCCTGTCAAATACTTCTTGGGTATTGAATGTGCTCGGTCTCCTTCTGGGATGGTTCTCTGTCAACGCAAATATGCACTGGAAATTTTACAAGAGGCTGGCCTTTTAGGATGCAAACCGGCGGGGACCCCATTACCGACGGCGCACGGTCTCGCTACCTCGGCAGCGCCTCCTCTACAAGATCCAGCGCGATACCGTCGTCTGGTCGGCCGGTTGATCTATCTCACCATCACCCGCCCCGATATTTGTTACTCTGTTCACGTTTTATCTCAGTTTATGCAGGCACCAACTCTTGATCATATGAATGCTGCAATGCGTGTCCTGCGATATCTCAAAGGCCACCCAGGCCAAGGCAGCTTCCTTAGTGCCTCGAATAATCTTTAAATTACAGCTTATTGTGACTCTGATTGGGCGAGTTGCCCACTCTCTCCTCGGTCGGTTAGCGGGTATTTCATTATGCTGGGTACTTCTCCCGTTTCTTGGAAAACTAAGAAACAGACAGCTGTGGCGAGATCATCTGCGGAAGCCGAGTACAGGGCTATGGCAAATGCGTGTGTGGAAATACGGTGGATGCACGGTATTCTAGGCACTTTAGGCGTCCCCATTTTATATCCTCCACGGTTGTATTGCGACAATCAATCAGCCTTATATATTGCAGCAAATCCAGTGTTCCACGAACGTATGAAACATATTGATGTTGATTGTCATACGGTTCGTGAATCTGTTCAGCGACACGAGGTGTCTACGCGATATGTCCCTACACGCTACCAGTTGGCAGACATTTTTACCAAACCTTTGTCAAAACCCGTATTTGATTTTCTATTGTGCAAGTTGGGCATTCAGGATCTTCATGCGCCAACTTGAGGGGGAGTGTTAGCGGGTATTTGTAATTGGGCTGTAGATATTGTGTTATTGGGCCTGTGTGATTAGCCCATCTTTGTACTTGTATATATATCGGTTTGTGATTAATGAAAAACAGATGAGTTCCGCTAAAATTCTACAAAAAACAATTCTATATATATAGCATTTGCTTTTGTATTAAAAATGGAAAAAGCACAAGTTATAGTTTGCGCTCTTGCTCTCATTCTTGTCACGTCAAGTGAGTTTTTTAGTTGCATTTTCTATATTTTCTTTTGCTAGACAACCTATGTATAATTTTGAATGCACTTTTTTGTACCCAAAAAAAATGGATGCACTTTTGATGGAAAATTAATTTTTCTCTTCATAATTCATAGGTCCTTTTGTGTGTGGAGCACGCTTTTATAAAATCAAAGTTGAAGACTATGCTCCAATTAGCGTCAATGAAATTAATGATGAAGGCTATGCTCCAGTTAGCATCCTCAACGATATCAAAGATCGCGACGATGTTTCATATAGTGTTCTCAATGAAACCAATGATGAAAAAGATGCTCCAATTAGTGTTCTAAGTGAAATCAATGAGGAAGGCTATGCTCCAATTAGCATTCTCAATGAAATCAATGATGGTTACGACGTTCCATATATTGTTCTCAGTGAAACCAATGGTGAAAAAGATGCTCCAATTAGTGTTCTAAGGGAAACGAATAATGAATTCTACTATGCTCCAGTTAGCATCCTCAATGAAATCAATGATGGTGGCGACGTTCCATATAGTGTTCTCAATGAAACCGATGATGAAGAAGATGCTCCAATTAGTGTTTTAAGTGAAACCACTACTGATGAAGGCTATGCTCCAATTAGCATCCTAAATGAAATCAATGATGGTGATAACTTTCCATATAGTGTCCTCAATGAAGGCAACTATGAAGGCTATGCTCCCATCAGTGTCCTCAATTAAAATAATGTTGGAGATCACATGATTCTCTAATTAGCACCAACAAAATAAATGTTTAAGTGGATGATATGCTCCAATTAGCATTAAAAAAATAAATGCCATGCATGATTGACTGTGAGCGAAACATTATTCCAATGTTGTGTTCGAAAATAATATTTCATTTTATATAGAATAATGAGGAACAAGCTATTTCAAATATAAATTGGACTTGTAATAATGGCATCATGTTACCGAAGTTAATCAATTATAATACTTCCTCCGTTTGGAAAAACACTTCCCATTTGGATTTGGTGCAAAAATAAGGAAGTGTTAAATTATAGTTGATTTCCAATTTTGCCCCTGGGTAAAAGTAAGATGTGATGGATAGATTATTAGAGAAAAAGTATGATGTGATAGGTAGGGTATGAAAAAGTAAGGGTAAAAGTGGTTTTTTAATAGAAAAGGGAAGTGTTTTGTTGGAAGTGGAAAAAATGAAAGAGGAAGTGTTTTTGAGAACGGGGGGAGTATTCTTTTTCACTTTTTTCTCAAGCAATTTTTACATGCACTTTCTGTTAGAGAATTGGTAGTAAGAACATTGTTGCGAAGCAGCATTATAGAATCGGCATACTAAGAATGCGCTTAGTGAACGACTTGAGAGAGTTATTTAGTGAATCACGTATTAACGCTTTCAAATTAAATTTATTTTGGGGTATATCAAAATATTTCAATTGATGAGACATAAATAATCTAGAACAAATTAAATATGAAATCTTCCATATTGTTAGTGTTTTTCCGTTAAAATGGGGAGTTTTTTTTGTCGTTCGAATTTCCCATATTGCTAATCGCAAAAGGCTCCTCCTGTCCAGCGTTCCAACACCAAGTTTAGCGTTTGAGGCAAAATTTCCACTTCTACCCATAAAAATTTTATAGGGAGAGTATTGCTTGTGCCGCCTATTGGTATCTTCATACAAATTACTTCCTCCATCCCAAATTATAATGCCTGTTTACTATTCACAGGGTCAAACTTCATTCACTTTCTTTCTCTATTTTCGTTAGCAATTTGATAAAATAAAATATTATTGTCACTACTAGTTTTGTAGATCTTTTGATGTAGTTTTTCAATATGTAATTTTTATTTTTTAATTCTATATCATTTGTCATATAAAATGGTTTGAAAATAATTTCAGTCAAACATCGTAAACCGAAACAGGCGTTATAAATTGGGACGGAGGTAGTACAATTTAGGGTGGTGAAGAAATAGGGTTTTTTCTTTTTTTGTGTACGATCGATTAAAGATTTTGACTCACTGCAAGTATTTCGATTAATTTCCTTGATATGATTTGTCCATTCATTTGAATTTCTTTCTCACATTGGCAATCCCCAGGTCCCCACCCCCTATAAAGCTTCAACCGTCTCTGATCTATCAATCCATTCAGTGAATTAATTAATGGAATGCGGGACGTTTGCACTTTTAAATTTTTAATACTCCGTATTTGAGATCTGCACTTTGGTATACAAGCTTAAATAAATATTTTTGTTAAAGAGCATCCCACATCGGAAAAATGTGAGAAAATTGATCGGTATATAAGCTTCATACCCATCCCAAATTTTATCATGATATCAGAGCCAGTTTTAGCCCACCTCGTTTGTCAAGGTGTCCGTCTAGACGTTCATTCCTAGAGACCCGTTAGTTTTTAGCCCAGTTGTTCGTACACCCAATGGCATGTGGCATGTTTAACACGATTGCTCGTCTAGAAGTTCATACCCAACGACTCGTGGTCCTTTAGGTGTTGGCAATCATAAAAAAAGTCAAGGAAATGGGAGTTCATTTGCAAGTGATCAACCGGTTAGATTCAAAATGGCCCGGTTGTCCACTTGAGGGGAAGTGTTAGAGTACATCTCACATCGGAAAATCCAAGAATAAAATAATCGGTATATAAGCTCTAGAGTTGAACTAACTAATCGATTGGATTCAATCTTTTAATGTGGTTCAACCCAAGTGTCTTATAGCCTAATCCAGTTGTTCATACCCATCCTAAATTATATCAATTTTAATAATTTGTAGTTCATTAACCTTTTAGAATCTTAAATTCCCTAAAAAGATGAAAATGCCAATCATTAACTCTGATGTAAACAACTAAAGTCTAACTCTAAAACCTAACGCTAAACTTCAACTAACTCTAAACTCTAACTCTTTTCTCAAATAGAGCCTATATAAGTACATATACCACGCTCTTAATAGAGCCTATATAAGTACATATACCACGCTCTTGATTAATTAAGATCGGTAATTTATTAAGTGTTATGTTCAATTAATTTTTTTATTATCCGTTCTTGAGTGTTAACCGAGCTGATCATGGTCGGCCCAATTCTATATTGGGCCTCGAGCAATACAAGAATTTAGAGACCTTGTTGCAAATTTTGAATTAAAATATAAATCGATAATGTGTACTTATCCTGTATCCTATCATATCCCATATATCCTATATCCTATCATATCCAATCCTATATACTCCCTCCGTCCAAAATTAAACTCCCCGGTTTGACCGGGCAGGCATATTAAGAAAAAATGTAAATATAGTTGACTTTTCCAAATTGCCCCGATCCCCTACTCTTATGTATTCCCCCTCTCCCCTCCTCTTCCCACATCTGTAGCGTGTAATATGCAGGCGACTGCTCTACCTTTGCGAAGCAAGACAGATGGTGGAAGCAACCAGTGACCGGCGAATTAGCGCACAAGCAATTGGATGAATGGTGGATGCAACAGGTAACCGACGACTGCGAGGCAGCAGAGACCGGCAACACAAGCAAAGCGACGATAGAATGAATTTTAACGGAAATTAACGGTAGATCCAACCGCCAACTCGCTGCTCCGATCCACCCACTGCTAGAATTTCAAATAGATCTGGGAAAAGGTCCAGATAGATCTGTAAAAAGGGAGGAAGAAGAAATAAGAAAAGAAGAAGAAGAAAGAAAGGAGGATGATGAAGAACGACGAGGAAGAAGGGATTTAGAGGAGGAAGAAGAAGAAATAAGAAAGGAAGAATTAGAAATAAGAAAGGATAAGAGGAGTTGGTGGATAGATTGGAAATGAGTGGTGAGAAATGAGAAAGTTGAAATTTGGGTTATATTTGTAAGGGCAAGCATGACTTTTCACACATAAAAACTTTTCTTAAATAGAAATGTGAAATTTATTTGTGGACGGATAAAAAACAAAAGTGGGAAGTTTTTTTTGTGGACAGAAGGAGCATATGTTAAAGAGAGTTCATTAGTTGTAGTGGAGACACGTAGCGTCTGACATGGCAAAATTTTTATCCACATGGCATAGTGTCATCATTATATTAGTCCATATGCATGACATTTATTAGTTTATTTTTTATTTAAAGAATTGTTCATGATTATTTCTTTTAATTACCATAAACTTTTATTTATAATACTTTTCATATTCTAATTATTATATTAATTAATCATTTTAAAACATATTTTAATATCTTATAATTAATTAATTACTTTTTTAAAGGTTATATTAAATTTATTAAATTTTTTAAAAGACAACTCTTTAAATAAATTTTTACACCATTTTCCCCTTCTATTCCATTTTAAAAATACATATTTATATGAAATATAAAACAATTATGTCATTACTAATTAAAATTATAATATTTGTTTTAAAACAATTGCATAAGCATTAGTTAAAATTGTTTTCCACTTCTTATATATTTATTTATTGTATCTACTATTAAAAATATCATGTTTAGTAGTTAAAATTGAAACTCCATTCGAATTCTTGATTCTAGACACGAAATCTCCCCACAAGAGTATAGTGGATTTCATTTATCAAAACCTTTTGGAAAATGTGAAAGTTATTCTTTTTTCAAGGACTAGGCACTACTGACACCTTCGTTCAAAGTTGTAGGTGTTGATGACGACTGGATAATGCTTGAGTTTTTGAATGAAGTCAAATACTCGGGGATTCCAAACTACCAAATATTTTTTCAAAAGAGGGTTCCAATTATGTTAAGGAACATTGGCCAAACATCTATGTTGTGCAATGGTACAAGATTAATTATTGACGGGCTACGAAAGAACGTTTTCGGTGCTATTGTGGTTTTGAAAAATCGAGTTGAAGAAGAAGTTTACATACCCCGAATGAATTTGGTATTATCTGATATCGAACTACCCCTGAAGTTCTAGAGAAGAAAAGTTCCAATAGTCTTATGTTTTGTTATGACCATCAACAAAAGTCAGGGTCAAATATTGTCATTTGTTAAATTATTTTTTAATAAAGTCAGTATTCACTCGTGGCCAGCTTTATGTTGTTGTTTCGTAAGTGAAGACAAAGACATGATTAAACATATTTGTCCTAGTTGACAATGGAAACTGTTACAACCATATCAAAAATGTTGTATACCCTGAAATCTTTCAAAAAATTTGGTATTAAAACAAACTTTGTTGTGTACATATTTCATTCCTCAAATATTATTTATTCTGCTTTAGTTTTTTTCCTATGATATAAAACATCATGTGAGAAGTATATTTTTTTTACTCCAGAAAAAATATTACATTGAAAAAAGAGCAAATTCCATAAAAGATATATCCTCATTTTTAGGCCATTTTACATATTTAGTCCTTACATATCAAATATCAATATTTTAGTCCCCAATTATTATATTGTTTTCCACAAATAGTCCTATGTTAACCTTTCCATTAAGAACATGTATAAAATTGTATATTCCTACTCCTCTCTCTCTTCAATTACGCTTCCTCCCTCATCTCGTACTCTTTCCCAAACTCGTCGCTGAGTTTGAAACTCTAAACCCAAAACCGAAACGATCACTCATCTTTCAATTCTTCATCGTCCTGGTGGAACCTAAAATCGAAATCAATCACCTTCACGAATGAGCTTTACGAGTTAGTCTCAAGAAATTACAAAGAAAACAAAATATAAAATTCATCCATGAAGGTTACGGGTTTTAATTTTGAATTCCACCAATAAGACGAACAATTGGGAGATGAGTGATGATTTCAGTTTTTGGTTCAAAACTTCAAACTCAGCGACGGGTTTGGTAAAAGAGTGCGAGAGGAGAGAGGAAGCTTAATTGAGGAGAAAAGAGCGCGAATTTACAATATTATCCATATTTTTTACGGAAATATTAATAAAGGACCATTTATGGAAAACAATATAATAGTTAGGGACTAAAATAATGATATTTGATATATATGGACTAAATATATTAAACGAACTATAACTGAGAACTTTTTATAGAAATTACTACTAG